ATGCCCTCCAGGCGGAAGCTCTGAAGGCCGCGGAAGAATTTGACGGTAGAAGAAGCCGACTGCCGGGTGCCGTTCATCAGAGCATCGCTCTTCTTCTCGTCGGTTGCCAAACGGGTTATACCCTTGGCGTTGCTGCAGACATCCGCAAGAGCACCAGCAAAGACGTTAATGGCCTTGATAAGCTCGGCGTGTGTCGCGTTGGGGCCGTCGGCGATGAAGTTGTTGAATGCCGTAGCAAACTCCATGGCGCTGGACGAGGCCTTCTCAATCTGCGAGAGCACGTAGGATGGAGAAGCGTTCTGGTTTCCTGCCTGCATCGTTGAATCCAACTCGTAAAGCGCGTCATCTACTCTCTGCACACCAGATTGCAGCACAGAGTCGATGATGTCGTTGATCTTGTCCAGGTTGGCCATGATCAAGGCATCAATCTGTCCGTCAATAACGGTGTCGGTATCGCCTTGGTTCAACTTCAGCTCGTTGAGCTCGATAAGTGTCTGATCCATGCCGGCCTTGTAGACTTCCAACTCCTCCTCCTTGTCGCGAAGAAGCTGTTCAAGGTCAGAGTCTCCATTCCTGATCTTGGCCTGGGCGTCGTCCAGAGCGCGAGACTTGAGTCGCAGGGCCTCCTCAAGATCGGCCATCTCACGGTTGTACTTAGACAACATTGTTGAGAGCTCGTTTCCTTTGCTTCTCTCGATGTTATCGGCACGATCCAGGGCCATGCGGAGCTCTCGCTTGAGCTTTTCGAGCTCATCCTTGTTGGCGCCCTGCAGGCGGTCCTTGTCATGGAGCGCGCGGTCCCTCTCTCTGATCATATCAGCGAGCTCAAGGTTCTTCGTCTTGATCTCGCGTTCAAGCTTCTCTCGCCGCTCAATGGCCTCCTGAGCCGAGGCAGCCTTGAGCTGCACAGACTTGAACTTTTGGAGCAGATCCAAGTGCTCGTGGCGAAGCTGGGAGTACAGCTTTGCGAGCGCTTCGTACTTCGTCCGCCACGTGTTAACCTGCTCCTGCAGAGCTCTGATTTGCTCATCTTTGCTCGTGATCTGTTGGCCGTAATGTCCCTGGATCTGTGCAAGCTCATTCTCCAGACCCTTGACCCTCTGGTCGTATTGCTGGAGCATAAGCTGGTCGCGCTCATATTGGGCTCTCGCATTGAAGTTCTCCTGTTCCAACTCTGCAAGCCGACCCTGGGTCTGATACTGCATTTGCTGCTGCATCAGGGCCTCCTGCTCCCTGCGCTGCTGCTCCGCCAACTGTCGCTGCTGCTCCTCAAAGTCCCGTTGTGCCTGCTGCTGCGCCTGCTGCTGCATCAACATCTGCTGACGCTGTTGTTCCTCGAGGACTCTCTGCTGCTCTTCGTACTCTCGGTTCTGGCGCTCCAGCTCGTTCTTCCAGAATTCGGAAATATCATCTGGCTCCTGTGATTTCGGTTCAGGGGGTGGAGTGGGGCGTCTCTCAATTTCCTGCTTCGGGCGCGCCGGAAGTGCGGGTGCCTCGTCGTCTTCCGCCAACAGGTTGGGAGGGTCTTGCGGCAGCTTGGGGATCGTTATCAAGCTGGTCAAATAGCGCAGGTTGGAGCACTCGTAGTAGAACTTGACGAGGCGGTAATGTTGGGCATCGTATCGTTCTCGTAGGGGCGAAAGCGCCTCGACGTCGCCGGTGGCTGTGCCCGATTAGCGAAATCACCCTTGCCCGCCTAGGGGGGGGAGGGGGTTCCGATGCAACTTACTCGAGTGCATGGCGCGAAGCATGCTTGTGATAAACTTGTAAATACCGTAGCTCTCCTGCACGAGGGGCACAAGAGAGGAAATACGACACTCGTTATTTCCAACGTGACGGAAGTGTGAGAAGATCAACTTCTGGAACTGCTCAATCTTATCTTGCAGTGTCATCAAGTCTGTGATTGTCTCGTACCCCTCATTGGGGTCGTTGATGGCCTTCAAGCTGAGGTACTCCTCGTATTCGAAGGTGCCGTTAAACTCGGGATGCTGCTGGTGGAAAGACAGCTTCGCCAGGAGGTAGTAAACGTATTCCCGGATCAAAGGGCTGTATCCACGCACTCCCTCTCCTCCCATGCCGCGATTCAAGCTGTCGATCCAACCTCTCTGCGCCATGGCCTCCCTCAGCGTGTTCGGGTGTCCTTCTTGAAGGACTTTGTGGACCGTAATCAGAGCTTTGAAAGTCTGAACTTCGTCGGCAAGAATGGGTTGCCTACAACGCGGCGCCGTCTGTCAGCGATCGGACCATCTCCCGACTTACAACAGTTCACTTACACCTTCATCCCAGCCCAGAAGGCCTGAGAAGACCGGTGGTCCCATGTGTACACAATGCAGCTGCGCACATGTTTCCGCTTCGGCGCCGTCTCGTCGGGGTTCGTGGCCTTCTTGATGTTGATCGCCAACTCCTGGTCGGTCCTTCATAGAGTGTCAGTGCACAGTCGCAAAGTCGGGGAGACTGCCACGATTGGGCCACAAAGTCTCAAGATGGTTGAGGATTACGGACTTAGTATGCCTGGTATCGGGCACGGCAGCCATGATGGGCGATCCTTCGTGCGCGGGGTCGTTGGTGGTGGTCGGAGGTGAAGGGCGCTTAATGGGGGTTTCGGATGGTTCGAGGAAATGACGTCTCCCGACGGTTTAAGGAGATAGCTCCACGTGCACGCAATGATGCCCAAGAATCTCAGTGAAGCCCAGTGAAAGATGTAGGGGGAGAATAATTCGCAGGAATTGGAGGGGAAGAAGATATCGTGAGCGACTTCCGTGCCAAGTGGGAGAGGCGGGAAAGAGTCGTCAGCGTTGACCAAGCTCCCAAGATGTCTAAAGCAGCTCGAGTGTGGCTGGGTTCTGCAACATGCGCAAGCTCCGGGGATTGCGCCAAGCCGTCGTCGTTGCGATCCTCCACTGGGTTTTAGGTTGGGCATGAAATCTGGAACAATGCTAATCCGGCGGACGCAGCGGTGTCAGTGTCACCCCTCCAGCGTCCCAGCGCAGGCAAAGCACCTGAAGCCACAGGCGAATGCCTGTCCGATCTAATCCCATGACGATAATGGTGGGGTTCATGCCACCAAAGTTGGTGCGAAAGGCCCCTGCGCTCACAGCAAACAATCGTTGAATTCAATTAGAACCCAACGATGGCAGAACATGGCATGGCTCTAGTATCAGACAACTCGACGAGTTATCAGAAATCAACTTTGGGAAAATCCAGTGATTGGTAGGTGCATAGCAACTGGTATGTGAGAGAGGCCACTGATATGGTTTTGCGTCTGGAACGTAGCCACAAAAGCGCATTTGCGTGTATCAGGTCTGAACTAATAAGCTCCTGTCAGTGACTAGGTAGGATTGAGCCCGGCAATACGAGGTTGTGCTTTTGATACTTCTGGATGACGAGAATAGTGCAAGACAGAAAGTACAGCTCAATTATACCACATCTGCTTTATAGTTAACCGATGTTGAGGGCCGCAGGTTGGCATTTCGCTGGCTAGCAGCTCACAGAGTAGCTATAGCTCATACTCACTCAAGGAATTGGCCGCGTACGAGCTTGATACTGTGCCTGCCCAAGCGACATGTGAGTTCACAATGACATAGTTGCACTTGAGAAATGATCATAGGTCGTGTTCTTCATTTGACTGAGGGTATCAGGAGGGCCCGGCGGGCAGCAGGGCCAACTATTCGCCTGCCTTTCACAGGCATCTCGCATTGACCTTGCTTCCCACGAGCACACAACACCATACACCAGAACCTGTGCCAATGCCTCCGACCTGACAATGACAGGACCCGAGGCATCGCGGCAGGATCGCAAAAGGACCAACGGGTCTCACAGGTAGCATTTCCTCGTGTAGGTGTGAACGATGAAGTGTCATTGGTCTTTTTTTTTCCCATTCCCTATGGACGTTGCCGAAAACGTGATGCCGTTCCATGCTAGAATTCTTCCGTTCCTCACGTAAACACCACATGCAAAAGAAGAACCCACAAACCACCCAAAAGACACTCTAAATCGTCGTCTCGTAGGGGAGAGGGGTGACCGTCTGGGGCTTGTTCTCCTTGAAGTCGACGGTGCGGGCCTCACGGGGCATGAGGGGGAGGCGCTTGAGGGTGAGGGCCTTGCCCTCGGCCTGGGCCTTCTTCTTCAGGGCGGCGTTCTCCTTGACACGGCGGATGAAGTCGTCTCTCGAACGGGAGGGGGAGATGTGCTCGACGCGGATGTTGATGCGCTTCTCGATGTAGCGGTGCTTCACCTTCTTGTAGATGATGATACCGACGGCGGACTTGGTGACGTTGTAGATGACACCGGTCTTGCCGTGGTAGACCTTGTGAGGCATACTGTAATCCAACAAGTCAGCCCTCTGCTCCTGCACGCATGATGCCTATTTTCGCAATTCCTCCCAACTAAGACCTCGAGTCTCCCAATTGTCGCAATTCGAGTTCGAGGGTGGGTTGTTCGCTTACCCCTTCTGGACGGCACCGTTGGTCTTGATGTCGACGATATCTCCGACTCTGTACTGGCGAAGGTACGTGGAGAGCTTGATCATACCCTTCTCACGGAAGTTTCTGCTGAACGCATACTGCAAGCTAACCGTCAGCAATCCGGCCGCAATCTCGAAATGATTCGTAGCTGGGCAATACGTACGCGCGTTCCCGCGCGAAGACCCGCTGGGTGACCCATTTTGCCGGAGTGGTTGTCGTAGAGGGCGGAATTTGGTGATGGTGTTGTCGGGTCTTGAAAAAGATCACGAAGTTCCAGACACAACGGGCAAGGCAAAAAATCGGCGACGTGTGTGTGCTTTGCTGACTCAGTCCCGTAATTCTTTTTTCGTTGTGAAAAGGGCACTGCACGTGATCGTAGGCGAACAGGACCCGCAATTTGACAGGCGCTAGTCAGCCCTCGCTCCCCACAGCCATTTTTCGCATTGAGTGTTGCAAGTTTCACGAGAGGCTCTTCTTTTTTTTCCTTTTCGTTTTCTTCGTCAACCACAATTCGAAGGATATCGACGAGTCGGCAAGATGGCGCCGTAAGTAGACCGAATCGCAGTCGCACCGCCAAATTCAATATGCTAATTCGATTTCGCGCAACAGCCTCACCTACTCCAAGACCTCCAAGGTCCCCAACCGTCCCTTCGAGGCCGCCCGTCTGTCAGTATTCTCCGGCCACTGAACAAGAGCTTGCTCTGTTTAAGTCGTGAATCACACCACTGACTTCGATACGATAATAGTGACTCCGAGCTTAAGCTCGTTGGCGAGTACGGTCTCCGCAACAAGCGTGAGGTCTGGCGTGTCCAGCTTACCCTCTCCAAGATTCGTCGTGCTGCCCGGTATGTGATTTCGGCTCTGTCGCAAAACGGTCGCGTGAGGAACACCCTCTTGGCTAACAACCACCACAGTCAGCTTTTGACCCTCGACGAGAAGGACCCCAAGCGTCTGTTCGAAGGCAATGCCCTCATTCGCCGTCTCGTGCGCGTCGGTGTCCTCGACGAGTCCCGCATGAAGCTCGATTACGTCCTGGCCCTGAAGGTCGAGGATTTCCTTGAGCGCCGCCTCCAGACTTGCGTCTACAAGCTCGGTCTCGCCAAGTCCATCCACCACGCCCGTGTCCTCATCCGCCAGCGTCACATCCGCGTCGGCAAGCAGATCGTCAACGTTCCCTCCTTCATCGTCCGTCTCGACTCCCAGAAGCACATCGACTTCGCTCTTACCTCGCCCTTCGGTGGTGGCCGTCCCGGCCGTGTCCGCAGAAAGAAGGCTGCTGCCGCCGAGTCCAAGGGTGACGGTGGTGACGACGAGGAGGATGACGAGTAAATGCATCGCCATTTATGCTAAGGATTGGTCAAAAAAACTCTGGGAATGGTTGGCACACCAAAATCCAACCATTGGGATCATCGGGGTGTTTATAGTCACGGCGTTCGCCAGAGGCAAAATGGAATGATTGCATCAAATACGGATACCACGAATGAATGTTACACAAAAGTCTTTTTCTTGTTCAGTTCAGGGCACCTCGAGGCATCGTCTTGCATGCGAACGTTTGACAGGGAAATGGGTATCATGTTTGTCCAATGCAATGCTCATAAGCCATGCCTAAATACCTAGGTAGTCTAGACCAATTCATCCTTGCCCAGGAACTTAGCCATCGGGTCGTTCGCCGCTGTCCTCTTTCTCCTGTACTCCTCCATCTCTTCCTCAGTGACACCGCCCATCATCTCTTCCGCTGTTCGCTTTGTCGCCGGCTTGTTCACCGGAGTATCATCCGCCTTTGGAATCTCTGCTTGTTGCTCCATCTGCAGCGCCAACGAAGCACCAGTCCGTTGCCGTTCAGACGCTTCCCAAGCCAACTTGCCCTCCTCACCCGTGCAGTAACTGTTCTTGACCACCGAGTGACAGCATTCGTAGCCCCATTGAAAATTTGACCACCAGCTGCCCCAGATAGATGTGTGATTGTGGATGTACACGTCCTCGGGGTACTTTGACTTGGCGATAACCTTGGGCGCGCCCTTGATGAGGCCGCTCTCGTCATACTCGACATATTTCTCCGACTCGGTTATGACATTCTTCAGCTCATCGGGCATGGTGTATTGCGAGTTATCGCCGTAGAGTTCCTTGAGCTTCTTCTCCCGCTCCGCACGTTTCTTCTCGGCCTCTTCCTTCTCCTTCTTCCTGTAGAACTCTCCAGCCGTGGGGTTGGCTTGCAAATGTTTTGTGGTGTCACCACTCTTCTCCTGGGCCTCCCAAGCGTATCTCTGTGCTTGCTCGAACTCGCCGGCGTCGCCTGAGCCGCGCATGAAGCCTTCCTCTGCAAAGAGATTCGCGGCTTTGTCCACCGTTGCGCCGCCGTCCACGAGGGATCTCGTCTTTGGGTCGTACTTTGCGGATTCCAAGTCCAGGTTGACCAGGTACTTTGCCGTATCCTCTCGTATTCTCAGCTGGCGTGTAGCTGTGCTCTGATGCTTGCTCATGTCGTTTTCCTCTGCGTACTTATCGCCATCGTCCTGCTCCTCCTCCTCCGTCTCGCCCTTGGCAAGCGCCTGCTTCCTTAGCTTCTCCATCTCGTTGAACTCCTCGACGACGTTTCGATACTCCTTAGGGTCGTATCCATTCCAGCGATCGCGTTTGGCATCCCAGCCAAGCTTGACGTCCTGAACGACCTCGTCGGCCTGAATGTCCCTGCCAGTCCACTTTGCGCCTTTCGCCCTTGGCCGACTGAGGCAGTCTTTGGCTTTGTGCGTCATGGCGCCGCAGTTTTCGCATGCGCCTTTCCGATACTTTGTGGCTGCCGGGCCAGCCTTGCGACCGCGATCGTACCATTGTGACTGCTCGTTTTTCTTCTGAATACGCTGATGCTCAAGGTAGTCGGTCTGGTCATCGCCTTCTTCGCCGGCATAAAAGGGACGTTTACTGATGAAAGAGGGAATGTAGATATTCTCCTCCTTTGCGGCAGCGGACGCCTTGGGGTCGGTCTTTCTCGGCGGTGGCGGCGGTGGCGGCATCTTGGCGGTTGGTGAGGGTATGAGAGGGTTGTTGCTAGAGAAAGTTTGGGCGGCGGCGCATTCACGTCGTGAATTTGGGTCGGGAAAAGCACAGGTGTTGCGGCTCCTTATGTAAGCAGTCGCTCTCAGATTTCATGCATGGCTAAGGTATTGATACAGAATGGCCTAGATTTACGCATCCAATTCTCTTTTGGTCCTGTCTTGAATAAGCACACTATATTCTTGTGGAATTGAAAATCTTAATTAATCCAACATCAAAGCTTCAAGTGTATCCGCCAGCAAGTTCATGGCTGAATCAATGATGAATGGCGACCCTATAGTGAAGTACATAGAAGGTGCTTAAGCCTGCTTCAGTGAGATGTGCTGGAAAATGCCCCACACCAAGGCACTTTGCTTTAGTGGATGATGGCCAGGCAGGATTGCGTCCCCAAGGAGCAAAGTGTCACGCGTGTTGCCACATGACTGCGCGGACCCTGGGCGTTTCCTCTTGGTCCAGCACGCGTCGGATCCTGCATCAACATGACCTTGTCGCGTCGTGAATTCGCTGCTTAGTGTCATTGAACCCGTCTTACCATGCACCAAGCCGACCGCTGCTCTTCCTTATCATGACATTGTTCTCCGTCCTACCGTCTCATCCTCCATGAGTGTTTACAGCCTCCACCATGGACCTCTTCCGCGTTCGGTTGAACTGCATAGACCATTACCAGGCGACGCCGACGCATTACGATCCCCAATTACGGAACGATGTCGGTCCTGCACAGGCGAAGAAATCCCCCAAGGTCCCGGTCGTGAGGGTTTTCGGGTCGACCGAAACGGGGCAGAAAGTCTGCGCTCACATACACGGCGCTTTCCCATACGTCTACGTCGAGTATCGTGGCAGCTTAGAGCCCGAGAATGGTATATAAGTCCTCGAACCATATAATGGACCTTGCTAACTGCTAAAAGTGGGCGCGTACATCTATCGACTTCATCTCTCTATTGACCATGCCTTGGCTGTCAGCTACCGACGTGATCAATTCGGAGAAAATGCAAAGTTCGTCGCCCGCATCACCCTTGTCAAAGGAGTGCCATTCTACGGTTTCCACGTTGGGTACCGCTTCTTTTTGAAGATCTACATGTTCAATCCCATCGTCATGACAAGGTTATCCGATCTGCTCCAGCAGGGCGTTATTCTTAAGCAGAAGTTCCAACCTTACGAAGCCCACCTCCAGTACTTGCTACAGTTCATGACCGACTACAACCTGTACGGGTGTGGCTACTTGGATGTATCTGATGTATTCTTCAGAGGCCCTATCCCTTCATTTGATCAAGAGGGGAACTCTCAACACCTTTGGCATGACCGGACGATTCCTAAGACTCGAGTCCTCGACGATCTGACTCTGCCGAGGGTCAGCCACTGCTCTATCGAGGTAGACATTTGCGTTCAACACATCACCAATCGGCGAATGGTGAAGGAGCGCCGACTGCACCACGACTTTGTTGAGCGTGTTAAACCTCTCCCAGCAGATATCAAGCTTGTTTACAGTATGGCTGGTCTATGGAAAGACGAGACGCGTCGCCGCAAAATGAAAATACCCAATGCGGACCCAGGAAGCAGCCCTTTCCCTGCAGAAGTTTTGGTCTCAATGTCTGCGAATAAACGTGACTCGCAACCGCAAGGATGGATCCACGAGGAAGAGTACAGAGAAGAAGTCGCAAAACTCATTGAAATCGAAAAGGGGTTGGAAGATTCCGCGCCGCCGAGCTTTGAGACTTTCGTGGAGCGTTCGCCGCTTGAGGCTGCCGTCAAGACCGCGCTCCAGTCAGTAGAAGATTTGTATCCCGCCAACCTGCTGCCGGCTCTTGGACTGCCGTCGAACCACGCTCCAGCAAACAAGAATCCAGCCAGCAGCATCGAAGTTGACGAAAAGGGCGTACTCGATCTCGGTATTGACGATTACGACCCTTATCCAGCCGACTCTGACGAAGAGGATCTCTTTCAGATGGGCGAGCCGAAGGCAAGACAGGATGACCAAATCAATAGCACTGGTATTAATGGAAAGCCATTAGTCACCAGTGGTACTGGTTCAAGAAGCGAACCCGTCGCTAGCGATCTGACAGTTAGGAAGACCGTCAACGGGCTGGGATCTATATACGAAGGCGTCTGTGCCAGCAGGTTGAAGACTGGGAACCCACCAACGGTGCCGGTTTGGGACGATCTGCTCGACATGGCCGAGGAGGAAGGGCTTGTGTCAAAACTGAGCGACCCATCAAGCCTAGGTCATCGCCGTACGGAATCTGTCAAGCGATCGATATCACCGCATGCGATAGCTTCTTCTACCAAACGCCCGAGAACCGAGCCGCCAGTAGCTCCGGCGTCCGATGGAGTAGTACCCAAACCGTCACTCAAAGGCATCCTAAGTAATAGTACAGCCTCTGAGAAGCATCAGGTCACGATGTTGCCGCCAAACTCCCAAGACAAGCCACGATCGTCTCAAAATGTAGGCTCGAAATCTGCGGCCAATCAGTTATTGGGTTTTCCGGTGGTCAAAAGCCAGGAGGACCCGGGCACGAAACTTCGATTGAGCCAGATGAACCCGCCTCGAGCCTCGCAACAAGCTGAAAAGGATTCTCAAAAACGTGTTTGCTTCAATTTAGCATCGGAGGAGACACGTAGCAAGCCCAGTCCGGTCACTCCAGCAAAGAAGGTTCGAATTGCCACTCCTACAACAGATTCGCCAGGGACCGAAGCAGGAACAGAAACAATTCTTCATCGGATACAGACAGCGATCGGATCCTTTTCCGCAAAACGCCAGTGTGTGATCGGCGTCCTGCCTCCCGCGCCAAAACTTATCATGTCGACAATGAAGGAGCTGCAGATTCCCGATATGATTTACCAAGATGCCTACTACAGCGAAGAGAAGGATGTCCCGGCTCGTCCCAGGGAGTATGCCGGTCGGGAATTTCGGCTCGAGAGTAATACTCTACCGTTCCTGGCGGAGTTTGATCCAACTGGGACATCTGCCGCCAGCATTGGCATCAAATCAGACACACCCATTGACAAGGCCAAGAACGACGTGCGTTATGAGGCCCAAGCAGGCTTATGTTCATACCGAAGCTGGGAGATAGCTCAACCACCTCCAAGCGCTAAGGAAGTTCAAGATTGGTGGAACAAGAAGCATGTCCTGCAGAAAGCGCAAAAGAATGTCACTGCAAAGATCACGAGCACCCCTCAATCTACAAGGCGCGACCTCTCCCAGATTGACGGACCTACCCCAAAAAACAAGCATGGCTTCAAATACTCGCCCAAGAAAAAGTCGACCAGTGTCAAGCATGAAG